TAACTACTACTCTCTCTCTCTCTCTCTCTCTCTCTCTCTCTCTCTCTCTCTCTCTGTCTGGTACATCTTGTCGGCAGCCCGCAATGATCTTCTTACGCGTCTATGGTGTGGGTGACGTATCGATCGGTGGATGGAAAGTGTGTCAACTGCGCTTCACGCGGCGTATAAGGCAAATCTTCATCTCCCTTCTCCGCCACCGATACGAGTTCTTAGAAGAATCGTGCACTCGCTTTACGGCTCTTACCGTGGCTGCCTTCTGCCGCTGCGTCTAAGCGCAAAGAAGGTGGAGGATGTCCCCCCTCTCGCGCGTTGCATTATTCATAAAACCATGGGGGTGTGCGGAGGTGGCTTATTGCGGCCACGGAACGGCGGGGATTTGAATAAATTCGGTTAGACGCGACGTATCCATTTCACTGGGAGATTCATCGTCCCCTGCGCGAGCCAGCCTCCGCTAATATCGGATGCATCGTGGGAAAATTGTTTTTCGTGCTTTCCAACGGGAAGCGGCAACTTTCATCCTTGCGAGAGATCGGCCGATTTCTATGCATGGCTCGCCTTTTTATGGGGAGTATGTAAGTAGGAGAGATTCGTCTACTGTTGCGATTATTAACGAGGGTGGAATTTTTTGTTGAAGAGCTCTCAAATGGAAATTAATGATAAAGAATTTTGAATTTCTCTTGGATTGGAAAGTGGAGAGATGAGATATTCTATTGTTATCGATTGATATTACGTTCAATTGTCCCCTTTCGAAGATCTCTGTCACTGGTTGGAAGAAGCCATTGTCTTAAATGCCTTGTTAAAACTTTTGTAAGGATTTGAATGAAAGTTTCGATTTCTCACAATACTGGAGGGATAAGATTCGATAAAAATAAGATTTCTTTTCTCTTCTTCGACCCCTTTCTTTTCGTTCTTTCATTCGTTCATTCATTCGCGGCGCAACTTTGAAAATTAGGTGGCTTCTCGTTCCTTTTCTCGAGTCGTTTTCACGATCGATTTTCACGATGAGAACACCCCCCCCCCTCCCCCTAAGAGAAAGATTATCCTTTCACAGAATGATAAAGACGTTCGAAAAATATGATACCTCTCTAAGTAGCTACCGTTTGTGTTGTTAAACTTGGGGCAGATTGAATGAAAATATAATAAATTCCTAGATATATGAACTCCGAGGAAAACCATTCTGAATCGTGGAGTATCGTGGAAGTACTTTACTTTCACAATTTTCACCCGGAAACTTTGCTTGAATTTCCATTTTCATTCTTGAATTGAACCGTCTATTCAAGTTCTTCGCATTTCCAGAGGAAAAAAGAGGAAACTAGTGTAACTTTAACAAAGAACAATAAGACCGGCGTGAAAATAGAACTTGAAGAAAGCGTTGTACACAAGCGATTCGCAAAGAAATACCTATAAATTATTCTCGTTGTATTCTCCATCGAAATACATTTATATAAAGTAACAACAATCAAACGATATCGAAACGAAATTTTTCTGTTTAAACCTCTACTCGTCACGTTGCAAAATCTTCCACTCTTCGAGGACAAAGATTGGAAAGAAGAATTTCGAAAAATTCCACACGCTCGAATGATACGCGAAAAATTCCTTTGCAATAATGGCAAAGAGCAGATCGAAACTTTCAACCTTCTCCCCCGCAACAAGAGCGGTTGAGAATGACGCGAGCGCACATTCGCGGTCGTGGATCGCGCGAGAAAATAACGTCGCTCGCGCGGAAACCCGCGCAATTTCTGGATAGCGGTTGCGGTTTCAAGGTGAATGGACAATCGAAAGTGGACGCTGCTCGTGGCTACATAGCACAACGATTGTTGTCGTTGAATCGACAATGTCGTCCATCAAATCGAGAAACATCCCGACCAGACTTGTAACCAGTCAGCAAAACCTGACAACGGTGTTTTATCATAGGAGGAAAGCTCGAGAAACCGACAAATCGATTCCACTGGAAATGGCACTCTCTCGATCGAGCCAGCTCTTACCCTCTGATTGCCCATCCGCTTCCTTCGAATCGATTATTCGATGTGAGCGATCCTCGATTCTTGGTGATCAATATCCATTTTTTCACAAGTCTCTCTGGAATAAATATTTAATATATGAAACGTACGATTCGATAATTTCCTCGAAAAGGGATCGCGATGGTCCTGTCGCGTTTATTCGTAATGGAAGTAAAATAAAGAGTTGGAGACGGTGGTGAATTCAATTTGTCTTGTGCCTTTATCCACGCGGATGGGGGAGGCGCATTTCTCTCAATAGAAAAAACTTTGCCTATAAGGATGTGTCTTCGTTTTGGATGAGCGTAATTGACGTCGAAAAACCGAAGTGAGGAACGGTCTGGAAAAGGGAGAGGAAAGAGGAAAATAAAATAAAAAAAAAAAGAATGAAAAAGAAAATAAAAAGAGAGAGAGAAAGAGTAGAATAAAAAAGGGACGAAGGGTATGGGTGGTTGGATACTCATCCGTGTTCTCTTTGATCAATCAGACCACCACCGTTTCACGGATGTGACGTAACATGCGGTAGACCAGTCGAAACGCGGCTTTCGACTTGCTCTCGACCAGGCGGTGGCCATTTTCCTCGTTTTCCTCTAAGTTCGAAGCCGCAAAGTTCCTTCGAATAGGTATGTCCTTTGAAGCCTTTACCTCTTGGCTTATCGTAATGGCCGGCCATGTCGAAACGAAAGGGATCGAACGTTCCTTTCTTTCTCGAAACATTTCAATTATTTATACACTGGATCGCTTCGATTCCTCCCCATTAAAGATCGACTTCCCTTTTGCATTCGATAAAATCTTCCTGATTTCCCTTTCCCATTGATTTGAAAAATTATCGAACAGTTTCTTTCCTGCGATTGGGAATCATTGAAATATCAATGGAACGATTGATCCTTTATATTCTCTCGATTATGAAATCTCCAAGAGATTTTCTACGAGATCGCAAATTAAAGCATACAAATATCGACGAGAAGGGAAAGTATGGAGAATTTTGAAAATTGTTTATATTTCAACAACGCCACCATAGCAGCGATATTCGTCCACAAAGGGTTAAAGAGAATAATCTTTTTTGCGACTCGACTTACGAATGAAAAATTTATACGAAATAAATGAAGAAAGAAATTAGATAATAAGAAATATTTCATTATTTTTTCACAAACAGATGTCTAAGTATAGAAGATAGTGCGGTGGCATAACAGGAAATCGAGATCAGGAAAGGATATTCGTCGTAAAAGTTGCGACATCGATTTCGATTATCGGGCATCCCACAATCGCTAATGACGCTTCTCCTCGATGCTTTACGATCGCGATAAGTTTCTGGTAATTTTTCCCCGCGGTAATAAAAGTCCCATCGAAGAAAGCAGAAGTATTTATGCCGGACGTCGCGACGAGGGGACGTCCTTTCCTTGACGATGGAACTCTCGCGAGTTTTCTACTCCGACCAAACTTTACCAATATGTCTTTTTATCAAGCTCCGTGAAAGTATCGAGAAACGAAAGATTTACTAATGTTTATCGTTCCACGAGTCGGGACGGGAAGGGAATTCTGTTAGAAGAATCGCGATCAATATCCTTAAACTATCGCGAGGATCTTTTTGTTTCTTCGAAAAAAATCTGAAAGTTTTTTAGTTTTACTTGTATTGTCGTCCTTGGTTAAACGTATTTTACGAGATTCGTGTCAACTTTGTACTTTGTATCTAAAAAAACAGAAAAACAATTTGTTTGTTTTAAAACAGATCTGCTAATTTTTATATTTCTACTTACCAAAATATATATTGGTAAGAAGAAGGGTATAAAATCCGCAAGATTGCGGGAATGTTGAAACATGTGAAAGCTCAGAGCTCGTTGAGTCGTGCATTAGTATTAAATGCGGGTAGGGATAAAAAGAAAAATCCACGGAAGCAAGGGGTATAGAATAATTTAAATTCGAAAGCTCAAGTCTGAACGAGCTCAGAATTAAAATTTACGATTAGTACGAGAACTCGTTAAAGCCCGGCAACCTCGACTATCAACGTTTCCAAATTTCAATTTTCCAGCCGCATCGCGAAAATAAAAGAAAAAAAAAAAAAAAGAAAAAATACGCAAACATCTACACTCGGGTTAAAAAATTCAAATTAAAGGTTGAAGAGCTCAGGTTTTAACAGGGCTTGAAATTTAAATGTATACTCGGTGTAGAATGGAAGGAAGTCGAAAAACCTGCGAAATCGGGGGAAGGAGTCGTTAAAACTCGAAAGCTGCCGGCATTATAACGTTTCCGGAGTTTAATTCTGCGATCGATAGAGACGAAGGAAATGGAAAAGTTGTCGCAAAGCCGAGGAAATCGTTAAAATTTCGGTCGGCCGTTGACGGTCACGATTTCGATGATCTTGAACAATCTCGCAAAACGGGATGGAATCGAAGAAGAAATCAATGTGTAAATTCGTTTGGAAAAATATATTCGAGATGTCTTAAATATTATTGTTCGATGATGTACCGTGAATAATTGATTGGATCAACGATTATTCGATTAAAACGGAGATCCCGATTGAATTACGGCCAGCTGAACGAGAAAGAAAACGCTTTCGAATATACTCGTTAACCGAAGCGTAGCAATGAGGTCGATTAACCTTTCTGTTTCCATCCGTTGTCTCGATTTTCCCCTTCTCTTCCTGCACACACGCTCCTCTTCTCGTATTCCTTCGACTTTCGAAGGTTGGTTGGAATTTTTTCCACGCTTGAATATTCCCTAGATCTAAGTCGCAATTTCCATAAAAAAGATTTAGATCCCGCGCCACTCGAGCGCCACTTCATACCTATTCATAACATGCAGATGCGCCCAAACGTTGCCCCTTTTTTTAACTCGTGACCAGAAGAGAAAGCGTGTCTGGGAAGAAGTATGGTCGAAACGTTACACCTTCGGATTCGATTGAAAGAATTTTCATTATCCTCTTCGAATTAATATTTGTGAAAAAAGAAAATTTTAAAATCACGAGTTATTAAATTCTATTTTGTAAAAAAAAAAAAAGGATAAAGGATGATCAATTGAACTCTGCGAGCGTACATTTTTACAGATATGTACAGATTGTCTTATTTGAGATTGTTATTCTAATTATCCTAAATGAAATATAATTTGCAGAGAGCGAAAGCTTCTACTGCAAATTTATGTACATGTCTCGCACGACACAGATTAAAACAGCATGCGGTCTTGCAAACGTGACACGCTAAATTTTCTCGTATTTTGCATACGATAGGATATCCAACGTTTCCACGATAATTTGTCGACACGAAGAAAACATCAGCTATAACTGGAACAAGATATTATTTATCGAAAAAGACGAGATCAGAGAACGTTTCATTAAAAAAAGACGCGCGTGAAAACGAATCGTTGTATTTTCACTATCCACGGTTTAACTTCGATATATAACTTTTATACCCGACCCAGTTTCCCCCGCAACAATATAATTGTCTCGTTCCGTTTCTTCTCCCTTCCCTCCCCACCCTTAAAGGAGGGCACACGCTGCTCTCCGCCAGAAGCGAAACAAAAGGAGCCGATTAAACCGGAACATCGAATCCTTGGGATGGGGGTTCTTGCCTTCCATCCCCTGCCACCCCGCCCTCCTATCATCGCTCCTTTATTTGTATTAGTTAGAGCCAGCCAAGAAGCAAGCAGCACGAGAGACGCCGATTCTCGTGTAATTTTATCGTTAAGGTGGTGTGTTGTTGATGATAGCCGGTAGCTTCGGGGCCAGAGATTTATTTAGAATTTTAGGGAGAATGATAAGCAGAAAGGGCTTGGACCCTTTCTTCCAGCGAGGAAATACTACCCAGGAATGTTGAGTTACGCTTGGTTGGTTGGTTGGTTGGTCTCCGTTTTCGAGAGGGCGTAATTATGCGAGGAGATTTTATACGCTGGTGCGTCCCAGCTTGGAAAGATTATGGGATTAAGGGGATGGAAGGGATATTGGTGATAGTGCTCTCGGAATATTCAAATAAACGGTAGAATGAATTTTTACGAGGTATACAATTTTTAATAGAAATACAATATTCTCTGTGAATGATTGAACAGCAGCGTTGGAAAAATATTATTTACATTATTTATTTTAAATCTACTCTATAAAAAGTACTGGAAGACGTAATAAATTTCTCTTTACTCGATTTTATCCGTTTCGAATCGAGGAAAAAGGATTGAAAAAAAAAAAAAAGAAAGAACATCGTCGTGGTAGGATTTTTTTCTCTCCTCTTTCAATTTTACACATCGAGGAGCCGCGTCGATGTCGAAGCGTTACACAACCATCGATTCTCTCTTTTTCTCTTCCCTTCATTTCTTCCTCTTCGCTGGAGAACAAAAAGAAAAAAAAAAGGACAACGAGACACGCTGAATTAAGAGGAAAATGCCTGAAAGCTTGTATTATCGATGCTCGGTTTCATCGAGAAACCGATTCTTCCTTGCGTGTCAATCAACGAAACGTCGACTTGGCGCCTGCCTGCACACCTCCTTGTCGATCCGTGATAGAACCGTCAATCAGGAGGAACAATGTAAGAAACGAGTCAAAACGGGGGTTAATCAAGTCGAGATTGAAATTAGCGAGAGGGAGCGTCATTTGGATAATTAAATTTCGTTTCGACGAATCGTGGTCGAATTGGAAAAGTGTTTCGCCATCTTTACCGATTGCTTTACTTACCACGAACTTTCTTCTCGGAATGTGGCTACGCGTCTGGAAGAGGCTTTCAATCTTCGCGATGCCCAAGTTTCATGTTAATTATCTTGGCGGCAAACAAACCGGCGGACAGATACGTCTCTTTTCTTCGCAACGTGTAACAACAGTGGCAATTTCCATCAACTGCAATCGAGAAGATGAAAGATTAAGCGTATTGACCGTGTCCAATCCACTTCCCTAACGAACCGTGATTACTTTCGATCTACCACGGTTTGCATACTACCAGAGAGGGCAGCGTATCACGTGCACGGGCCACAAATCTCAAGTCCGAACTGTCCTCCATAAATCAATTACCATTAGCGTTCCAATGTCTCGAAACGGTGGTGTCTCCTCCGAAACGAAACTTTCCATCGATCCGCCACCATTGCATGCTATGACGAAACTCTGTCACGAAATTCTTGTCGTGAACTTTCGGTGTTGGAGATTCCTTCGTATCGTAATCATCGACGATAATTCTTTCTACGAGTTCGATTACGATTCGTTGAATTCGATTCCTCTTTTCGATCTGAATTCGATATTTAAATTCAATCGCGGAGATTCGACGTAAGGGGCGTAAGAGCGACGATATTCGGTCGACTGGATAAATAAGGCGTGAACGATGAGTTATTGCCGTGCAAACTTTGTCGCCTCATCCGTTATCCAACGTCGAATGAATTCTTCTGGCCGTCGCCTCGACGTCCTATCCACGCGTCTCGACTTTCGAGGCAGAAGTCTACGACTGCGGTACACTGTTTCGAATGGAGAACTGAAACGAGAAATGGAGAAGAAGGGGTTGTACAGCGGACAGGTTGTTGAGACAATCGAATCTGTTTTCGAACTATGATTCCTCGTCGATTGCGTAAAAGTTCGTGAACGATTCGAAAACGAAGCGTGGAAAAATAAGAAGAATTACTTACGTCGAGAGAATATGGGATTCCTTCCAGTTGAATTAGGCGACTTTATTCTCGCATTTTGTCGTTTGTGAAACTTTAACGGTGTTCAGAATCGAGTTGAAACTTGGAAAAAGTTCGTAATAAGAAAATACTTTCCTCAACTAATAATGCATAATTTCTGCCATCCATAATGAAACTCGCCCTTGCCTCTCTCCCGATCGTCTTCTTTCGTTCATTTCGCCACTAATATTTCGTTCAACTTCCAACCGTCTCTAACCACCCAAAGGATTTATCATTGTTTCGTGAAAATTACCAAACACGACCGATCTTTGTAATTTACAACAACACGTGGCTCGATCATCGACGAATAGACACGTCCCTTCGAAAACCTTTTCGTCCTCCTCGTACAGTTCTCTCAATTTACAAGAGAATCTTTGCCATCCCCATGGGGCTGGATAACCCGAACTGAGAGAGATCCAGATCGTCGCGAACTTGCGAGAATTCTGGCCGTATCGATTACGAGGGCAATTTCTTTTTAACGAGCTCTCGATAGCGTCTCGAAAGGTTGCGACCTAAGGGCAGAGGGTTGATTTAGCGGCAGGCTGCGCGATTTAGAGAGAAATCTCCCTTCCAACCCGTTCCGTATCCGGCTATATGGCCCGTAATCTCCTATCGGCCGACTGGTAATCTCGATCGCAACATCTTTGGATTTTCCGCCAGGGGCGGCGATCGAGGGGCGCGATAGAATTTTTCAACGACGGGGGAGGAGGAGGAGGAGGGGTGTACTCGTTCGATTAATTAGAAAACTTTTCTCGAGGCGAGATCCAGCGAGACGTCTCCCTCCCCCCCGTTGACTTTAAATTAACGGTCAAACAGTCGATTTTCGTCCCGTTAAGCGGTTATTGGAT